CACTTTCTCAAAGAAACGGCGAGCCACGCAGAGGTCTGCCGCTATCACCGCTTGCATCAAAGCCAGAACAGCATGAAATTATCCAAATCCTCGGTACTTTGCTTTCCATGACGCTTTTGACTCTGAAATCCCAGTTGATGCCACTTTCATTCTTCTGATAACATCGTTGTTGGAAAGTAAGAGCAAGTGTAATTAGATCAACGTTTCTGGGGATTGCCGGAGTCCCTCATGGTCTCTGTGATGCTGTGGTGTAAAGCCAGCCGCTGTCTCTGCTCCGCAGCCTCTGCGCGAGGTGGGTGGCTTGCCTTTTCTCAAGGCAGCGGGTCCAAAGAAGTCCCAAACAGATACAGAAATTAGGGTCGTGTCCTTATCCTCCCATATCCCTGTTGAAATCCAGGTCCAGATAACTACCGTGTGTTGGATGTACAGTGTGATTTGTGCTGCTCCACTCCTAAGCCCACTTGCGGGGGTTAGGAGGGGAGCAGCAGAATTCCTGGGCGTCAGCGCTCTGGATTTGATCCTGGGACAGGTTTTAAAGGGAAGCCTTGAGATTTGGAAGAAAAATGAAGGCAGTGACTGCACTGTGAGATACTTGCCAGCACCTTAAAAGTACAATTTTTTTCTAATTTAAAGAGCCCAGTAAGATACGCAGTGAGCACTTCGTGAAAGATCTTGCATTTATTCTATTTTCTGTAAGCCAAATATCCCAGGGTCAGTACAACAAGCTGAAGATGTAATATTTACAGGCATAATGTTTCTGTGCGGGTCTGTTATTAAAAGATAGTAAAGAGTATTTCTCTGCATTGTTTACGATAGTTGATGGTGAAGACCAAGGTGCTAAACCCATGCTCAGAATACACAAATATATTTCAGCCTTTTCTTGCATTTCAGTATTTCATTGCTGCACAGGTCGTGAGTTATGCAAGTATCTGCTCTTGTGGTGTAAACTACAGTTGAACTAAAGTGAAACAATTTATTTGGCTGAACATAACTTTGAAAGTACGGTTTAATTGCTCTTAGTTTTAGAAAGGGAGAACACAATCCTCTTTATACTGTGAAAAGAGAAAGGATAATGTTCATTTATTGGTCCCATCAGGGTTGGATCTTAATGTTTGATTCTTTACCCAGGCTGTCACTTAAATTAGGGGAAAATTGTCCAAGCAAAGCATAGCTTTATCCTGATGTGCAGCTGGAAAGAAACGTACCCATTTCAGACACTTAAGTTGACAAATTGGTTTTATAATGTTCATGTGTTGGTGTTCTCTGTTGACATGTGTCATTACACAGTACTGGCTTCACTGTTTGTGAAACTCACCCGATAGTAGGTGCAGAGGTGACCCTGCTTCAGCAGGCGGGTTGGACTAGATGACCTGCAGAGGTCCCTTGCAACCCCGAACATTCTGTGATTCTGGGATGAGTAATGGTGGCCACCAAGGTGTAATGGCACATTTCCATTTGTAGGGAGACAGCAAGGAGGGGATTCAAGCCAAGTGTCCTGCAGAAGCTGAGTTGGTAGACCTGGTGGCCTGCAAGAGGAGGCAGAGCCCTGTGGCTCGAGCGTTGCTTAGGAATTTAAGAACCAAGTGTAATATTAAAGTATTGCATCTCTTCAAATAATTTTTTTGGAAGTTGAAGCTTGCTAGCTGTGGTTTGTATATAATGTTGTTAGTTTAAACCTTCTGCTAAATGACAATACAGTTCCTTAAGTGTGAGTGCTGGTTAGAAAGCTTGGAAGAGGCTGCGTTGGGGTTTGATTTTTGTCACTTAGATGTATTATTGAATTTATGTTTTTTCATTATTTCTGGAAGGCAATGCAAGCAACCTGCTGCCACAGCTGGGGAGGAATTCATGATGCTCGTGAGGAGGGTGGCCGCTTTGACGTGGAGCAGGACCAGGGCAGGGCACGGGTGGCTGTAGAGGCAGGAGCTGTGGCTGGAGGGATGGCCGGTGCTAGGTTAGGTCAGCGTTAGCCCTTGAAGTGGGTCTTTGGTAGGCAGGAAAACTTGGAGCGAGTTTTGGATATTGCAGCTATTTTACTCAATTGTGGTTACTATGGTTATAGTTTGCTGTGGTTAAAAATGCGCTGCTCAACTTGCTATGCTTGGCTTTTTGTAAAGGGCTTGTAACCAGTGTGTCCTGGCTGCAGTGGCAGCGTGCGCCTTGTTTGAAGAATTTTATTGCTCCTATTATTATTACTATGCTAGTTGCTTAACTTGCCTGCATTTTAACCTTCCTAAGCTTGCTGCTAGTGTGAGTGAAATGGCCAGATTAGGAACTGGAGAGTTATTGGGTGTTTGTGTTGTTTTTGTGGGTTTTTTTTTTGTTTTTTTTTAATCTGTTTTCTGGTGCAGTATCTCTTAAAACATATAAAGTGTAGACCAAAGTCTCAGCAGCTCTCTGCTCCCTTCCTCTGAGCTGCCCACAGGTCCCCTGCCTGCGCACGCTGTGTCGGCTCTCTTGGCGTTCAGCTGTGGGTTTGCCCTTACGAGCAAGCATCGGGGCGTGCAGGAAGGAATATGCAAGCACGGGTTTCAAGAGTTGTGCTAGTTGTGTCAGTGGCTGGCCAGCAGATGAGAAAACCGAATACACGTCGTGTGCCGTCACAGGCGCAGGTGAGGAGCGGGAGAGCACAGTGACGTGTCTCCGCAGGAGCACTTTAAGGCTGGTCTTTTGTTGGATTCCAGCCTTCTCTAGGGAAATGCAGTGTGATGCAATGTATTTTTTTAATTTTAGTTTACTTGAAGTTTCCATTTTAGACTTTGTATCTTCATTCAAGCAGTGCAGCTCTCCTGCAGCGGGAACGGCAAGCTCGGTAGCTGCAAAGGGTGGGGGTGAGGCTTGGAAATAACATTACAAGCAGGAACAACAGAGTAGTGCAAAGTAGGAAAACTTTGAAGGTGCTCTCGGATTCTTGAATTGGGATTTCCCATGAATGTCTCGGGTTTCTGACTTAGCTGGTAGTGTAAACAGCAAGTAACTGTAAGCCTGGGCAGAAGTGGCAGCTTCAAGCAGTGAGGTTAATCATGTGTAATCATGTAGGGAGATGGTATCTGCCCTCTCTTTGAAGATTTCTCGACACTTTATCTCTTTTTTTTTTTTTGAGTAGGCGGTTAGCAGGTTGCTTGACACAAACTAATGTTGTCAGGTTTTAGTGTGGTTGCATCAATCTGAAAAATCTTTTCCATGTAACCAAAACACTTTTTCTTATGCGCTTATTCTCAGTCATACAGACAGAAATTGCTGTATATGGGATTTAAAATGCGAGGGTGCTAAATATCTTCACTGTTCTGTGGAACAAGCAACTGCTTGATACGATCTGCAGAACGTTTCAGCATCATAGTTACTTAAGACTGAAGACTAGATCATCTTTGTTCACTCAGAAGTGTACTCGGATGGTAGCATAAAATGAGGTACAGATTGGGTGAAAAGTCCAAATGCCAGTGGTGCTGAGAGGGGTCAGGGGCCTGTTAATGACCTGTTGCATAGACTTTATAATAGCGGAGGTGGTGAAATGAAATACTTGGCTGTATCTGGCTTCAGTAGGAGCATCTTGGTACCATTATACAGAAAACCAGTGCCAAGAGAGGCTTATTAGAGTCTTGGATTTTCCTGCGACAGGGAGAAGAACTTCTCTGGGTGCTCCATTACCTGTTTGTATCATCTCTAAGTGCAGATGTTGCATGTGAGCAATTAGTGTTTTGTATATTGATTTTTGTAAAACACATGAAACCATCAAGTAGCTGCATAAGAATGTCTCTCCAGGTGTTTGTAGTAAAAACTAGTTACAGAGCTCTGCAACAGAAACCCTTGGGTTCTCACGTTCCAGCTGTAGACTTAATGATGCTTGCGTACTACTTTCATTGATAATCTGTTATAGTCTAATCTATGCAGAAAATTTGAATCGTATTTATGACCAAGGTAACGGCTATGGACAAGCATGAGCAACTGTCGCAATTAGTATTCAGCTCATAATGGAAGACTAATGGAGTTGATAACCTGGTTTGCTTCCCCCCGCAAGCTGTGCAAACATAGGGAGCATAGATCTTTGTGGCTTGTTGAAGGGGCTAAATCGATCAAGAATAGTCAGAATATTCAGAGTATGAACTGCTTTGTGATCTGCCAGGCCAGGAGGGAGAGGTTTCGAGTTGTTAAGCTGCGAGGAGATGAGAATTGGGATGAGGAATGCAGAAGAGAGAAAGGTACAAGTTTTCTGTGAGACTTTCTGGGGATCAGTAACCAAGGTATGGGTTACATACAAAGTTTTTTGTTGTTGTTGTTGTGTTTTTTGTTTTTTGTTAAATAAATCACAATTTGGAATGGAGATAGTCTTTGAAAGACAGTTTGCTTGTATATTTTGTCCAAGCACCGCCAGGGACTGCAGACAATTGTGTGAAGACGGTGTGTCGGAGGCTGGCACGGCCGTTCCCCCGTGGAAGCGTGAATGCCCACTTGTCTTCTGTGCTCCTGCCAGTGAGCTTCGGTCCCAGCCCTTGGGACAAAATCATCTCAGTTACCTTCCCTTGTTCTTTGTTATTTGTGCGAGGTTTGCTGCTTCAGGGAACCAGAAGCTTATCGGCAAAATTAAATTGGAAGATATGAAGGAGACGATGGTTATCAGGAAAAGTATTTTTATGACACTCTCTGTTCCTTCTCTTAAAGTGTAGCCACAGTACGTGGCTGGCAACTTCTTGAAAGCTGCTTTTTCACTATTGTCCCCCCAAAATTGGCTGTGATTCCATGACATGGATGGAAGAAAGGCAGCATTATGCTTAAGAATGTTAGATGAGGCTAAAAACTGATGAAGCAGCAGTTTGGAGTATTTCTTAATTGTAGAATTTGTATCTTGTTTGGTAGCAGCAGTAGTACTTCACGTTAAATAAGGACATCGATTTGGTTCTTTATAAGATTTGTTGCTGAAATAAATCTTCCTGCTGCTTTTGAAGAAGCCATTTTTACTGTGCAAAATTGACTATAGATCTCTTTCTTTGTTGTCATTATAGAAAACCTAGAATAAACTCTCAGTTGGTGGCACAGCAAGTTGCCCAGCAATATGCAACCCCACCACCGCCTAAAAAGGAGAAAAAGGAGAAAGTGGAAAAACAAGACAAAGAAAAACCTGACAAAGAGAAGGAAATTAGTCCAAGTGTTACGAAGAAGAACACTAACAAGAAGACTAAGTAAGTTTGAAGGATGCACTATTAAATGTGGAGTGATTTCAGTAGCACTGTGCATTGATTAATTGCGCAGTTAATCTAACATCATTCTCTCCCTCTTCCCTCCAATTCTTACAGACCAAAGTCAGATATTGTGAAAGATCCTCCTAGCGAAGCGAACAGCATACAGTCTGGGAATACCACAACAAAGACCAGCGACTCAAATCACACTTCAAGGTAACTTTATACTCAAGTTAAGCTCTTGGTGCCCGAGAACGGTGTTAAACAGCAGGCACCGTTTTTTGGACACTGACAGAGGCAGAGTACTGTCTGACCCACAGGGTCTGTCGGTGTTAGTACGGCAACCCCGTCGGTGGCTGGGAGCCTTCTCCGTGTAGGAGCCCTCAGACAGTCTGCTGGTTAGGGCAGATTCAGGCGTTGGGAATATTTATTAAGTTGTCCGCTCAGTTTTCATTTATCTGCTAAAATAATCATATTGCCAATTGGGCAGTAATGCTTTTGGCTGTCAAACAAGGGGTGGGTGGTGGAAATTAACTGGCAATCATAGTGGTCTTTATCACATTCTTATCATCACACCATAGCAGTAACAAAGGTTACTTTTTTTTACTTCCTTATCTGTAATTCAGTCACTGTAATTGTCAAGATAATCTTCCAAGTATACAGGAATCAAAAGACTGCATGAACAGATTTGCTGGAAGCTTGCTGTCAACAAAAACTGTGAATGGTTGGTTTCATGTTTGTCTAAGTTTCAGTGAGTAGCTGTCTGTGGAGAGTGGTTTATTCCTAATCTGGCCTATACTGATAGTCCACACTTTCTTTAAGTGGTGTCTTGTGCTTTGTTTCTTAAATAAAAAATTCAGCATCAAACAGTTTTTTTATTATTGAATTTACGGAGCTACGAGAGGCAGAATTCAACTGTGCACTTCGCCTATGTGGTCTGTATAAGAATTGCATCTCTTTAAAATGTGCTGCAATAAGTATTTTATAGCGAAGCCAGGTGAACTGAAGCAATGTTAGTTAGCTGCAAGCGGTTGTAAAGCATGTGGGAAATATGGTGTGCAGTGCTGTTAGCATTAAGGTTGGCAAGACATGACTCTGGAGAAGACTGTTGTCTTACAGGTTTGTAAATAATAGCATGAAAATGTTTAATAAGAGTGAATATCCTATGCAAAGTCACTCACTTGAATGCAGTGAGGGCAGTGTGAGATTCGCTGTGGTAGAAGGCTGAGCTGTTTGCGGGGCCTGCTGTTGGGTCTTCCTCAGCCCCCAAAGATGGAGTTGTCCCTTCCTGATGTGATTGAGGAAATATAGCTTTGTTGCCTTTTTTTTTTTTTTTTTTTTTTTTTTTTTTTCCTTTTTTTTTGAAATGGGTCTATAGGTTTTTTGTGTTTTTTTTTTTTTTTTTTTTTTTTTTTTGTCCTATTCTTTTCGAAATGGTGCTGATTTTGAGGCTTAGGATGCAGGACACTTGATGCGCTTGACTAATGACATAATATTGAATTGATAGATTACATCAAATATTTGTTTTTACTCCTTGAAGGAGTCGCTCTGTTTACCGCAAAGTCTTTTAGTCCATGTTTTGTGGTAAGCTTTTGTCATTCATAGTTAATCCTTAATGGATATTTTTAAGGGATACATCATCTTCTTCAGTTCTTGAACTGTCTTTTGAAGTGTTTAGTGGAAGTTCTCTTGCAGTTCGCTGCCCTCAGGAGTGCTGTGAAGAGTCTTTTTAAAGGATCTGATTTTTAGAGTCACAAGTTATCCGTTCAGGTTTTTTTAATGCCTGGATTTCTGAACTGTTTTTTTTATAAAGTGTCTTTTAAGGTTCTCTGGATTTTTAAGAAATCCTCTTTGAACTACTTGGATACCATGCCTGTTTCTGACAAAATATCTTGGTTTATTCTATGCCTCCTTGTGCACTTTCAGATTGATTGCTTTGAAAGACATTTCTTATTTGGCCATAAACCTTTTTAGCTATAAACGTGAAGCATCAAGGTGTTTAATTTTGCAAAATAACTTGAATTGGCCAATCCCTTTGCCTTTTATGGGAAGCAAAAATTGTATGCATGTGCTGAAGAGATTGTCTGGAGGTTGCCATCTGTGCTTCATCAGCTCTTTGCACAGGGGAGACCCCTAAAACCCTCTGCAGAAATGGTTGGAGGGCTCAGTTCTAAAACTGACCTCAAGAATATGTTTGTGAGCGGGGCTGTGGAGAAATCCCGCTCCTCAGCCCTGCTTCTCCCCGTCCTTCCGTGTTACTTTGTCCTGGCATTCAATGCTGCGTGGGCAGTTCCATTCAGGTGCTTGCTGCATGGCTTATCTCAAGGGCTGCTGGTAGCGAGAGCTTTTCTGGGCAGAACTTAATGCTGCTTAGGCCATATGAACTCCTATTTTTCTTTCTTTTTTTTTTTTTTCCCCCTAAATATGACTATCAGTGCTGACTTTTGACAAGCAATAGCAGGAGCGCACATTCAACCCCGTAGAAAGGTGGAGGCAGTGAGGTCTGTTCCAGTATCTGGGCCAGCATTTTTTGGCTGTTTCTGAGTACAAGAGGAAACAAATGACCCAGGCAAATTACAGGAAGAACTGGGTTTCCTAGAGGAACCTGGGGCTTAGGGAGGAAAATACGTATGCATACTACGCATCCGGGAACGCTTGCTGCTGTGTTTGCTGCCGGTGCTTTGGGGACAGCCTGCGCCTGCTGAGACTCTATCTGAAAGCCGATGGAAACCCCAAAACTTGCTGAGCTAGCTGGCCTTTCTTGTTACCCACAAACAAGGTGACATCATTTAATCTAGCCTGTGGTTACGAGTTGAATTTGCCAGCTCCTGCAAGTGCGTACGTACAACGCATCCGCGTGGGCGTGTGTGTGACTGCTGCGGGAATTCACTGAGCGCAGCCATGGCTTTGAAAAGGCCGGTCCCTGAACCGAGGGGTGCTTTCAAGTAGGAGGTTTTACTGACTGTGACCCAGCACAGCAGTTTTTTAGTTGTGTTTTCTATCAGAAATGCTTTTTCCTGTGGTACTTGTTAAATTGAAACAGCCTGCTAGGTTAGATATGAAAATAACTGGTTTTGGTGCAGTAACTTCATTTTTGGTGAAGGAGTTTGCAGAAATAGAATTGTTCTGTTTTTGAAGCTGTACATCCATCCTTAATACTTTTTTCTATTCTGTCTAGTTCTAGAATGTCACTTGGATAACTACTACTTAAGGACTTTCCCCTTGTTAATTTACCACTGCAAGCCATTGAGTATGCATGGCTTAATTACCTCTTTTTTTTTTTTTTTTTTATGTCTGCCTTAGCCTAGTGTGCTGCAGATGAGGAGGAGGAGGAAAGGCAGCTTGGTTTAAAGGCTGGAGTTTGATTGCAAAGTAAACTAACCTTCCCTCCATCCCTTGGAATAAGGCAGTTCTCAGCAAGCTACTTCTCACTGATGTGTAAAGACTCTCCTTTTTAATGTCCCTGTTGGGAATATTCTGCTGCTTAAGCCTGACCCTTAATTAGGAGCAAAAGCTGTAAATTGCTGCAGCTGCCGTGGAATTCGCTGATAGCTGGAGGAGTGTCCAAGGTTGGACCAGCCCCTGCAGTGTGCGTGAATGTCAGCTTCCGAGAGTCTAGACCCTTATTAGCTACATTACTAATTGAATGATAGCACAGCATGCAAATTACTGAGATAATCCTGAGCTATAAATACCAGTGTGTTCTTTTCTGGTGGTTTTGATTTTTTTTTTTTCCTCTTTTTTTCTGTTTTCCTCTGCCGCTAACCAAAAGAGCTAGCTGCAAGAAATACCGTTGTACATTCTGGATTTTATTTACAATAACCTCAGTTCCAGAGGGAACATTTTGAGTGATTTTATACATAGGCTGACTGGGCATCTGATTTGTATAAGCTCAAAGCAGTTGGAAGAGAAGCCAAGTTGTCCCAGTGCCTGTGTTGTTTGCAGCTGCAGAGTTCCAATATGGGAATGAAAGCGCTGTGGTCAAATGCTTTCATGTGGTTTTGTATTGCGGAGTCACAGCCTTGTCTGGTAACATCAAGGCCTGATGAGATGGTGAATTTAGATAAGAGAGCTCTTTCATCTGCCCCTTGGGGAGGAGATCCTTCGGTCCGTCTGGCTCCTGTCCGCTTGGCTCTGCTGTAGCGTCCTCCTTGCTGGCGGAGCTGGAGGAGGGATGAGCCTGCAGCAGGCACCTTTGCAGAGCTCTGCAAGACAGGTCTTCCCTCTGGGCTGAGCGTGCCGCTGCAGCCCAGGCTGTCGCAGGGAGCAGAAGGTCAAACCTTCGTCCTCGGCCGTGCAGCGCTCACTGCTGCCTGGCTTCTCCTTCCGGTTGCTGCCATCCGCACAGGCAAGCGGAGGACGAGTCGCACTGTTTGTTGTCAAATGCTTCTTCTAATAAACTTCTCCTTTCTCAGTTATTTTTATGCTGTCTATAAATATCTTCTCATTTATTTTAGACCCAGGCTGAAAAATGTGGACAGAAGTACCGCGCAGCAGCTGGCAGTCACAGTGGGAAATGTCACAGTAATTATCACAGACTTTAAAGAAAAGACTCGCTCCTCTTCCACGTCGTCTTCTACAGTGACCTCCAGTGCAGGATCAGAACAACAGAATCAGAGCAGCTCGGGCTCTGAGAGCACAGACAAGGGCTCGTCCCGTTCCTCCACGCCAAAGGGGGACATATCGGCAGTCAACGACGAATCTTTCTGAAAATTGCACATGGAGTTGTGGAAACTATGAATCAGGGTATGAAATTCAAACACTCCACCTGCCCATGCTGTTCAAATCCTGGAGAGCCTCTTTTGTGCTTGAACACACACTTTTCTCGGACATCGACCTCTTACTGATGCAACCAGGATAATTTCTGCTTGCCGTGGGCATCTGGCCACCAAGGAATTTCTCACCCTAACGATTACTCTTGACACTTTTATGTATTCCATTGTTTTATATGATTTTCCTAACAATCATTTATAATTGGATGTGCTCCTGAATCTACTTTTTTATAATATCTGCTGTGCACAATTTTCCATGAACATTACAACTTTTTGTTTGGGGGGGGGGAGCGGGTGGGGAGGGAAGGGGGCTTTATTTATTGCATTCACAAACTCCATCCTCTTTCAACATATCCTTTTTAAGTTCAGTTCTTCTTCCAGTTATACTGTGTACTATCAGTTTTGATATAAATTATATATAAATATATATATAAATAAATATATATAAAGGGTTATTGCAAACCAATACATGGAAACGCTGGTGCTTGAAACACTGTGAAGTGAAACAAACAAACAAAAAATCGAACAGTTGAAGATCTGGGACAGTCCCCTTCTGTGAAAATACTGAAACTGAAATGGAACTGGTCTTAGGTGAAAAGTGTTCCTGAAGGTTGAACCCGGATGGGATCCGTTCTCTCTATTGTTCCTTCCCCTTTACTTCCCTAAGCAATGGCTAAAACGTACTGGACACACAGTTTTGATTTTTATAGCTTGGGATCTGAAATGACAAAAGATTGTGCTGGGTAGCTTGTGTTCCCGCTTGGGTAACTGGGACTGGGGATGTGCGAATTCGTGCCCGGCCAGAGCGTAAGCGTTCACAGCCAGGCTGGTGTCGGCGTGCCACGGATTGGTGTGTTTTGGCAACGTGAACATGGCTGTGCCGTGCATAGCCAATCCCACAGGTGCTTGGTGTTCGCAGATTTGAGGGATTTTGTCCAGCTGCCCCAGTGGCCGAGGTAACTTTGGAACTGGAGTGGTTTGCTTTTGGGTTGGAAGGCAGCGGGGAGCCGTAGGGCTGGGAGCGAGCGGGGTCGAGCAGCAAGCCAGCGGTGTGTGGGTCGTCCGTCTGCCGCTCCGTGCTGTCGGGGGGGGCCTGCGCCTTGA